AATTTGTTTTGTTTAACCGTAAAGTTTGGTATGAATGGTTAACCAACATTGTAAACAATATTATACCGCTAATTTGTGTAGCTAAAAACCCCGCAAATTAGAGAAATCTCGATTTAATGATGAAAGAATTTTTGGTAGTTTGAAAACTGATTTTGTAGGCGTTTTGGTACCAAAAATATTCCAAAGGGACAACACCAACATAGGCGTGTGGAATCGCCGCCATTTCAAAATCAACGATTGTCAAGATCACATATTTTTCTACATCGGGTTGAATTTTCCATTTTTTTTTTTGTTGGTGAAAAACCTTATTATTTTTAATTATACTTTTTATATTTACACTCTCGACTTAGTCCGCGAAAATTCAGAGGCCCTTAGTAAATCTTGGCCTAAAACTTTTGCGGAAATTTCTGGTGGGTTAAACTGGTGGAAAAATGTTGATCACTCTTTTTTCAACTATACGTACAGATTCTTTGACAACAAACTAATAAGTATTATATTCATCTAAAGAGGTACGATTCATTACTTCAATGTCTATGTAGTATCAATATATCAATAGATCAATAATTGTACGAAAAAAAAATATCACGAAATACACCCGAAACAAAACAAAGTGTAGGTTGTAGGTAGGGTCGAGTAAAACATGTAAATAGGTTTCATATAGTTCCTGAATCCTACACTTTTTATATAAGAAAAATCGTTATTTTCGTACTTGATGCACTTATCTATTAACAGCTCGACTATCTTCCATCTGATTTGAAGAACCATCGTGTTTTTAAAAGGAATTCATAAATATTTACTTAAAATTGATATATACAATGGCTGTTTAGCAAAATATTGGTTTTTCATAAAATTTTAGGAAAAAAGGCATGGCAACTCCCACTATTTTCATATATGTACACATGTGTGAGATCGGTGAAGCAGTTTTTAATATACACATATTGACGACTGAGTAGAAGATCGACCTATCTCGTCAGCCAGTGTGAAAACGCTCTATCTCAGAAAACTTTTCAAGAACGCCCTACTTCAGAATTTGATTGAAGAACGCCCTATTTCAGAATTTCATTGAAAAACACCCTATCTCAGAATTTGGTTGAAGATCGTCCTATCTCAAACGAAAATACATTGAAAATGTGCTGAGACAGGGCGTTTTTGAACCGGCAGCTGAGATAGGGCGTTCTTCAATCTCGTTCAAATTCTGAGATAGGGTGCTTTTCAATAAAATTCTGAAATAGGGCGTTGTTGAAAAATTTTCTGAGATATGGCGTTTTCGAACTGGCTGTCGAGATAGGGCGATCTTCCACTCAGCCATCGATATGGTGATATGGGACCTTTTTGAGGCGGCAGATGAGGGGGCGTTTTTGAACCGAATTCTTCAATCGAATTCTGAGATAGGGCCTTCTTCAACCAAACTCTGAAGGGGGCGCTCTTTAAGAAATTTTCTGAGCTAGGACGTTTTCGAACCGGCTGCCTAGATAAGTCGATCTTCTCCTCAGCTGTCGATGTATGGTATAAGTGGGCAATGCACGCCCATTTTCCCAAAATTTTATGAAAAACCAATTTTTTGCTAAAGAGCCGTTGCATAGTATATATAAATTTTTGGTAAATATAGATGAATTCCTTACTCTACACTTCTTCGGCCCTACATACAACCTCGTATTTTTTTTTGTGGCACCGTATTATGTGTCTGTATTATCTAAGACTGTGACAGAATTATTTATTTTAAGTTATTAACTAAAACTAAGTTCATTACAAAAATTTATTAATTGCGACTTTGTTGGTTGGTAGACGCGTCACCTGTGCCCATGTCCAGACCCAATTAGCCCTTATAGCACCATTACAACCATTTAGTAAAGGTGCATTTGCAGATCTCCCTAAGATTTTGGATGGAAAAATTCCCGAGTGTGTCATGCCTTATTCGTGCCAGTGCTGGACACTCGCAAAGATAGTGTAGGATCGAAGGCGAATGTCCCGTTATCTTGGCTGTTAACTTGACTATATCTTTCCTGGACCTCTTTAGAAGTTCTTCTGTGTTTGGTTTGTCATAGTGGGACCATATGTTCCTCGAAGTTTTGCAGGTTTGAAAGTTGATCCGACGTGCATGAGCCATACGTACGAATTGCAAATTCAGTACCCTTCTGATAAGTCTGGCTGGAAAGTTTATTGTCTCTGTTTCGGATTCATCAAGAGATGTATATTAACTCGGCCGTCGAGCTTAAAGCACATTTGCAATCACTGACGCTTTTGGACTTTGTTACCGGTGAGGCAAGTGCCAGAAGTGCCACCTTCGCACTCCCACGCTGCTCCTTTCTAATTCTTTACAGGCCCTTTCAATTCCCTGTACTTCCGCTTGGAAGATGCTAGCAAAATTCGGTAGTCGGACATCCTCGCCCCCCTCAGTAAGTAACCGATACTGATGCTTTGATAAATTTGTGTCTAATATACCGGCACAAAAAAAATTAATGTGATGTGCTTTTGACCGGACCTACCTATGGTTATGTATTTCGACCCACAGTTAGGCCAATATACCGCCTAAATTTCGAGAAATTATTATTTTATTGAAAAATTACAAACAACAAATTTAATTAAATTACCCTAGCTTTGCACATTGGACCACCGTGCGCCGTGTAAATTTCAGTGGAATTCTCTTTGACTATCCTGCCCCCGCTCCAATCCCGTCTAGAAGGAAACTTCACCTGAAAGATTTTATTGAAGTCTGTCGTAGGAGGTATATAATCTGATTGTTTCCCTGATTCGATAAGCTTGCCAAGAATACCACTATGACCGAGCCGCGTGCAGCAGCTTGACTATTTGATACTGCCGAGGACGCAGCAGTTTCGCGGATGTGGAGTTCTATTGGCGTTGATGCAGGCTCACATCAGATGGACACGGCTTAATTGCTCCTGTAGCACCTGCACAAGCTGCACTTTGTATACTGCCTAATTTCTTGACGTTGTATAGTTTTTCTAGTTCTGGCCACCAAACTAACGCCCCGCAATTTAGTATTGGTCGCATGACATCCGTGTACATCCTGAGGACAAGCTTTGGCTTTAGTCCGCAGTTCCTACTGAATATTCTTTTGCATGTGTAATAGGCTGTGTAAGCTCTATCTATTGCGACTTACTCCAATAACCTAGTTTTTTTGACGTAGAATACGTCTTACGTTTCGATATGGAGGGTATGCTCAAATGTTGTAGTTGTAATTTTTAGAGCTTTACGAAAATGCTTATTGCACGAGAACTAATGACATCATTCCAAGCCTATGGACAGATTCAGTTTTGTAAGTAACCAATTCGGTTTCTGTCGTAGAAACAACGGTAAACATTGGTTTATTTTGGGGTCAATTTTGGGCTTTTAAAGTGCTCTAGCATCTTACGATTTGAGGGTCGAACTTTCATTTTCTTTGGAGCAATAGAAATATTATCGCGTACAAATTATGAGGATGAGGATACCGATAAACGTAAAGATAAAGATAGGGAAGAAAGATTAAAATAAAGGTAATTATAGAGAAAAGGATATAGACAGAGGCTCAATCTGGAGACTATTTCGGGATTTTAAAAATGTTCGGAATTCTCGTTTGTTATCGATATTTTTTATCGATATTGTTATTGATTTTGCTATCGATATTTTCGGAACTTATCGATACTATGTCGATATTTTTATCGATTTTATTATCGATATTTTAATCGATTTTGTAATCGATTTTTTAGTCGATTTCTTTATAGATTTTGTTATCGATATTTTTATCGATTTTGTTATCGATATTTTTAAGGATTTTGCTATCGATATTATTATCGGTTTTGTTATCGATATTTTAATCGATTTTGTTATCGATATTTTTATCGCTTTTGTTATCGATGTTTTTATCGATTTGGTAAAGTTTTTGCTATCGATATTATTATCGCTTTTGTTATCGATAATATTTTCTTAGTGTGTGCTTTCGTTTTTGACTTGGATGTGCTCTTAACAATGCGACGCGTATTTTACGTTTAAATGTAGCGGCTGTGTCTCCGATACAGCCTGCAGGCCAGGACGAGGCGCTGGACGGTTCCTTTTTTTATTTGAATAGTTCGTATCCATAGAGAACACAGAAAACCATGTAACTTAACTTCTTATGTTCGCCTATCCATCAGCGTTAGGCATTCCTCATTTTAGTTTAGGTAGGATTAAAAACATTTATGTACTTACATATGTATATTTAAAACTAAATACTCCTGGAACGAATTACAATCTGATTGCGTAACGAATTCAAAACCTGCCGATATGATTCAATACGTGGAAAGGATAGTGAGACCAAAGGAAAACCCCTAACATAACGAAACGAACTTGTCAAACCTAGCTTTGAAGACGATATTCTGGTTACTTTCTATTAAATTAAAAACGAATACTTATTTATAATTTCTTTCTTCTTGGAAGCTATCTTTATAAAAACCCATTATAAGATCGTGAATGCTCATTAGGGCGGGACATTTCTTTTTCGACTATGCGCGTATAGCCTAGGAGGATCCTACGTGTAATTCTAAGCAGATTTTCCGAAGAACCCATAGGTCTAAAAAAAATTATTTTCGAAGAAAATGTGAAAATGTTCACGGTTGTTCCCTCTGGTGGAAGTTTTCTGAAGAATATAAGTGCATAAATGTTCCCTCTGGTGGAAGTTTTCTGAAGAATATAAGTGCATAAATGGATTCCTTATGCAAAAAACACCTTATAGCATGTTTCTGTACACAATTTAAGTACTGTGCTATAAGCGCATAGTCGGAAAAATTCGATCCAAACAAATTGCCCCTCCCTAATGTATGTATGTATGTATAAAGCAACTCAATATCCCTGTAATCTACATTGACAATAGATGCACGCATTGGCGCTTTCGTAGTAATCCTATTATATTGCACTCCCTTCGCATATCTTTCAATAATCAAAAGTATTTCATTTTTCTTAGTAGGTGCTTAGTTATTTTCTAGTTTATTCATTCCACAATCTTTTATCTTCGACTTTCTTTACAGACGAAAGGACAGCAGCGCATTACAACGTTCCGCCAGCATTGATTCCTTTGCCGAGATTGTGTGGAGCGACTCACCGCGACCCTCACTCGACATACCACGTCCCTCCGTCGTGCCCTTCAGCAAACGTCCATCGGCCAGCAGCCTGTTCTCAAACTGCAGCGCCACATCGCAAACAACCCAATTGAATATCAATTACGGTACCGGTGGCGATCTATGCAGCAGTGGTAGCAGCGCGGGTAATAGTCGACGTGAAAGCCTCTTAAGTCCATCGTCAACGCGCCGCAATAAGCTGACCAGAATTATAAACGGTAAGTGGAGCACAAGTATACGTAGTGGTCATGTACAGCAAATCTCTGCATACCAGCTCACGTATGTATGTATGACTGGCCCAGGAGGAAAAAGGAAACTTTAAAAGCTGCATGCATTTTTGTGCCTATGAAAGTAATATGGGTATTCATATAAACGTGTTAATGCCTCGTAACCGCATAAACCTCGCAAATATACCGGTTTTCCACACAAAATAAGATAAGTATACGAGCTTCAACTGGTTTCACGTTTACATGAACTCCCTAAATTTGTCGCGTGTCGCTTTATAAATCCATGAATAAGAAAAATATCAAAACAAAACAAAAAACGCAGCTAGCTCGTATATATATATCAAGTAATCCTTTTTAATGCCGGTTTTGAGGTCAGGGTGTTGATGGAATTAAAACACATGAAAATACATTCCTTCCCAATATATTTCAATCTCCTCCGGAGATC